CCCCCCCCCCCCTCCTTTCCAGTCCGTACATCATGACAGACTGAACCGTCTTAGAAGAGGTGTTATAAGGGCTTATGAGGTGTTATAAGGGCTCAGCAGTTGTACCGGTTATATGCCGACCAATTGGTGGTCATTACCTGGAAATTTAGCCGTGCACCATTGTTCGCATTGGAGCAGCTTTGTCGACAATGCAATCATTTGATCGTCGTAGCGTAACTTATTTTATTTGAACTATTCTCTCATTATACTGCTGCTCCTTGTAATAATATTGTTCTGAACATATATCCCGAAAGAGTAGCAATAAATAAGAGAGTAGCATAGAATAAAATCACCAATGCCGCAATGAAAGGCAATTTTGGACACTTTCGGCTTACTGTAGCCAGCTGTACCGAGTGACGCAAACATTTGAGTGCTCCTCTAAATATCTCTTCCATACAACTTTTGCTGTCACATTCTCGTCCATGCTACTGAACTACTTTTTCAAAACCCTATATTTCTCTGAATACGCCGATTTCCGCGTTTTCTCCGCTACTTCTGCATTGCTCTAGACTGTTTCTTCCATTATTCGTTTGAAACCAGGTACCTCAAAATTGTCGTGAACTAGGCCTTCATAAATTCTCTAGCGTACGGAATGCTTGATTGCATGACAATCATGTAAAGAATCAAAGTCACAGAGTCGAGAAGTTTTATCCAGTTGCTACGCTGAAATTTCCTCCTAGAGCAGTACATTTAGTTTAACACCTACTTATGCTGAGAGTCAATACTTGTTTTTCTGTGACTTATGTAACAGAGCTGAAAAATACATTTTTTTCGCCACAATTATCTCTTAATGATGTAGGTATGGAGTCCTTTTTCGGACCTGGACTTCCTTGCGTTGGAGAAACTTTAATGGAGAAAATAGGAATCTAATCAATAGTTGTCAGCAGTCGAAGGCATTGCTAACGATAATCTGAGCTATGTGGTTCAAATAGAATATTAGAAGTTATGGTAGAGAATAGAGCAAAGGTGGCGAGGAAAGTGCAAAAGTTGGCAGATTTCGGAAAAAATTAAAAAGGGCTTGTACCAGTACTAACGATATTATGAAAGCACAAGGAAAGGGTATACGGACGAGTTTTCAGTTACCGCAATAGCGCGAGGAGCTAGCTAAAGAGGTGAAAATGGCAAATATTGCATTCCAGTTGGTGTACTGTAGTGCTGAGAGCATCCTACTTACTATAACATAAAGCGCTTCTTCTGTCGTTCTGTCTGTCGTCTATCGTCTGTCGTCTGTCTTCTATCTTCTGTCGTCTGTCGTTATGTATGTCTGTCACGAAATTCCTTAGCTCCTTTAGATCTGTCTGGAGAGACCGGGTCTAGCGTGGGATGGGTGGGCCATGTCCCGAGAAGTATAAAGCACACGTCAGCTTGGCGGAGCCCTCCCACAGTGGGCGTGCTGTACTGAGGACCATGATTCCAAATTCAGTCACAAGACGGCTTCAAACTGAGGTTTAAAGGTGGCTAGAGGTGTGCATTGGTAAGTTAGATCGAGCTGGGGAGACCCACCCCTGATGGGCGGGGCGTTCTCCAAAAATGCAGTGCTTTATGAAAACATTTTGGAAAATCATAAGTCCTGTCCCCTTGGACCTAGAAAGTTCAAACTTGGTAGGAGTACAGGTGACAGGATGGGGACACTTACGGTGGGCGGCAAGACCAGTCTCCGTCCACAGGGGAGGGGGGTTGAGCGGAAACTCATAAATCCGATAAAGGTCTACAATAACAATCAGCTCACTTGGCTTCTCCCCTCATGGCTAGAGCCTCTAACGCACGCGATAGCGTGCGTGGCCGCTATCGCGTGCGCTAGCGTTTCCCTGAAAAAGGTAAAGGAGACGTATGATTGCAGGTCCCGTATTACTGCGACGCCGTGTGTAACGCCTAGATGTATCCCATGCGAGCGTACTATTCGTCAGCTCATTGGAAATGAGGGGGTGTGGAAGTAGGGTGAAGCAGGATCTCTGAAATAGGTCCAATCTCAAAATTTTTTCGACCTTTTCCACATATCCCTAAAAAGCCAAACAGAAATGTGTACCCGTATCAGTTCAAAATATTTTTTACACGCACACGTTACAACAAAAATGGTTTCTGAGATTCCCCCTAGTATGAACATGTGATCTTCATGGATAGCATGTGGCACATCGTTAAGTCGGAAAATGGTAGGGCTTATGAGGGCCCCGAATTAATGTTGTAACATTCACAATGAAGCGTTAGGACGCCGACGGATAGTACGCTCATATAGGAAAAACTCAGACGGTCACATACATACACATACGTGATCTCGTACAACTTGCTTTATCACTACTTTTTCGAATTCTTACGCCTTTACGAACCCGCCAATTTTTTGCGCTTTCTTCGCCATTTCTGCACTACTCTGCATCGTAACTTCGACAACTAGTTTTAAATTCCAGCTAGATACCGTAGAAATATCGTGAACTGTGCCTTTGCGATGATTCACCTTGATGAACAACCCCCTTCGGTATACCGAATCCAATATCCTTTGATATGCAAATGGGATCATTCCAATCTAGTTTTCTTTTCTCCTCAAGGCTCTCTGTATTTCCATAATATTTCCCGAAATCTTGGGGACGGTCTGAAAAAGTTTATGTGTAATTATAAGTAGTCTTATTCCATGGCTTTGAAGGATCACTGCGCGGATGTCTAGCTTGTAGAACGGAACATCGGATCAAAAGATGCGCTGCCAAATCATAAACCGAAATATTCTATCAAATGGACTAAAACAGTTATCACTAGCGTTATACCGTTATTGGGTGCGGATGGTTACCAATAAATATAAGAACTGGCCTTGTTCTGGTGATTACCTACAAAAAAGAAACCCGAGCAGCTGGAGAGCGACATGTGAGACAGTAGGATTGTGTAAGATATGTGACGCTTCACTAATATTAAAAATCATTAGAGTGCTCTGATTGTATACAAATTGAGGATCCCAGTATCCGCTCCTTTCATGCAACTGGCATTGACATTGATTTGGTTTTCAAAGGAAACAAAGAAACCTACAAACTTCTTGTTCCTTATCAGTTTCGTACCTACACCTGGGATTCAGGCGCTTCGCAATCATTGTGTACAACTGAAAAGCAAATGAATTCTTATTACGAAAAGCTTACTATAGGAAAATGGATCATTTTTGATAGAAATGAGACTAAGAATAGCAACTCCGTGTTCATTAGTAAAACATGTGTTATGATGCAGTTGTTATAATTCATATTGGTATTCTAACAAGTTTGAAGTTTTCCAATTTACATCTCACAGTCTTTGCAAATATCTTGCGGCTAAATCTTGTATAAACACCTATTTCATCACTTTGACCTAATACAACCCGGGTAACCGAACTTCTCTCCAATTGCGGCTTTCTCCCTTGCTGCATGCGGCAAATGTTACTTGCAGTTACCGTAATCACCTCGCCTCCCCGCCAATCGATGGACCCGATATTTTTCGTTGATTGCCTTTCTTTTTTATTAAACTTGATCGTTTTTTTGTTTCTTTTCCGTTTTTATGTTTAACAGACTTGATTGATTAGAATGACCCCCCCCCCCNCCCCCCCCCTATACTAGCGGCGATCAAGGCCGCGCTGGAACTTAAGAGAGTGGCCAGCCAATTCAAATAATTAAAGGACTGCCTACCTTACAAATTGCGCGCTCCGGTCTTCCATCGCAATCCTAAGATACGCGGTGGGTGCGGCGTGTGCGACGCCGTTTTCGGGGAGAAGATTCCAGACCCAATACTATCCGAGAGTTTAATGTATTTTTCGAGACTTCTGTTGGTATTTTGGATTCCTTTGTCATTGACACTTCACTCTGCCTCAAAATTCCGCCCTTCAACTCAATTACAGTTCACCTAAATATCGCGAGCTGTGCCTTTGCATGGGAAGGAAGTATAAGCCTGTGTGTTGTATGACTTATTTACATGTATTAATTAGCCTCATATTGCGAACATAGATTAGTTTCTGGGCTTCAATATGCCAATCCACCTGTTTTTGTCACTCTGGTTTGGATGTATGTTGTGCACGAACAGGTGAAATCGCGCGACTGTATCTATCTGTAATGGTTGTTCTTCCGACCGCCACATCTTAGTTGGTAGTTTTAGAAAGATGCCTTACGTGCATGACGTCTTCAACTCGTTTACATCAATTTATCCGAGGCTATGGAAGAGAGGTTGGCAGACTGCCCGAATCTCGTCCTGGGGTAGTTTCAGAGAAGCAGGGGGGTCGTATCAAAAAACATCACAATAGCTACAAGAATGGTCACAGGAAACATGAGAAAGGATCAAATAAATACTCTGAGAATCCTATTTTGATCACAACTTTTCTCTCCAGGACCAAATTAGGAAAATTTTAATTCACGAAATCCCTGTTCCATATGGAAAAACGCAAGGGAAAATAAAGTGGGAACTGCAGATTAGTGCGCCGTGTCCGAAACTATTACAGGGGCTTGTGACTCGCTCACATTTCGACCATAATCGTAGCTACAATCGAATGTGGGTAGATAGCCTTCGGTGCGGATTGCGAGAGTCAGTCTACTACAAATCAGTAGCACTATTCTCCCAGACAAGTCTAGTGTTCCTTCTCCCGAAATAGCAGATAACTCTCATGTTATGTGCAGATAGGAATCCGAGATCCTGTCTCCACCATATATGTTTCGATATGTTCCCATGTACATCTTAAAATCAGCTTCTGTGAAACTTATTAACAGTGGAAAAGGAAGGTTACAGAAAAGCCTTCATACTACAAAACGAAATATTATAGTATGTTCGGTCGGGATGTACTTACTAGGGTGGGATAATATATTCACCATAAAACTGAGAATGGAGACCCAGACGCATTGATAAAGTTCAGAATGCTGTTTACGAATTGGAAAATAAATCTGCAAAGAGGCTTTCGCAAAAGAGTTATGGGGCTCGAAATACGCTCAACAGTAATGTTAATCGAACTACGCACTCGTCCTTTTGACATCAAGCGTCGAGTGGCGTGGTGGTTGTGCTCTCGGTTCACAGGCGGAGGATGCGGGTTTGGTCGTCGTTTTTCATTCCGCTGAAGGACTTCAAAGACGTCTGATATTTGTTCAAATGGACGCCTTATTTATACTTTTCTTTGCGCTTGTCACACTTATTTGAGACAGAACAGTCTGCACGTAAATCGTATAACTCCATGTAATTCTAAATTTCGAGAAACGCTCAACAGCAAGATGTATTAGATGCCTGAGGAACGAAACATTAGAAAAAAAACTGAAAAAATGTGTGAAGCACCGCATTTGTTCAGTTTGTTCACAAATTGCGCGCCTTATACATGCTCCTCCTCTACAACCAGGGCAAACAAGTCAGTCCTATTGAGATTTAATAAATACTGGCCAGGAGTAACACAGTAGCCAGGGTTTTCATTAACATCCCGCTATCTTATGATAAATCTCTGGTATTTAACTATGAACGTTTCTGAAAGTTCAAGATAAAAAGGGTCACACAATTTACGAGCCGAACCATTCTGTCTTGAGCGACAAGCGCAAATAAAGCGAAAACAAGCAGAAAAAGCATTCACTTTAAAGGCACCGTTTACGATAAATTTAATGTACCATTTTTCGACGGGAATTCATAGAACTACTCCAGAATAAAGCGATAGCAACGAAAAAAGCGCAAAAAACGATGAACAAAAAGAAATAGAAAGGGTCAAAAAAGAGCTGGAAAGGTGGGTTGGACGAGTTTCACATTGGAAGGACGGGGGTTAAGGGAGTGTTCGGGCGAGTGCACGAAGGCGACGCAATGTCTGCAATAGCAGACAACACACCCAATTTGCCTGAAAATCTGACTGGCAGACTCTGGCAATTTGCCAACCTTCTTATCAATTTTTCACCAACTTCGCTCCAATGCGAAAGTGATGAACGGCAACTAGATTTCGTAGTCAGTCTAGCGAGGGGCGGAGGGCGACCGTGGCTCACTTTCCGGCCCCTTATCGTGCCCTATCCAGACCATTTCCGACCTCATTCCTGCACAAATGGTATCAGAGGGGGCGTCGAATTCAAACCATGTGCAAATCTCCGAAACCATTTTTTTCGCGAACAGTGCCTTTAACAGATGTTTAACATATCTTCAGAAGCCTTTGTGGGTAGAACGGAAGCGCTACCACTACGCCTTACTGACTCTTGATATCGCAGCGATGAGTACGCAATTTCACGTTACCCTTTCGTTTCGTGCACATTTTTGTGGAAAAGCCATTTTGCAATTTTGATTTCTTTTCGTGAACAGCACTCATAGCTCTATCGATATATGTATCGCGGCCTCCATTCTAAATCTCATGATAAGTAAATACCTCTCGTTGATTAGATACAACAGCGCCATTTCGCATAACAGGAGTCGCAGAGACTGAAATAGCCATTTGTCGAATACGTTGAACACTGCGGTGCTATCGATTTACATGTTCTGATGTTCTGTAGTAACCTAACTCCCCTTATTTAGCAACTGTTTGCAGTTCGTTGTTGAGTGGTACGGTAACGGTTAAGATAGTCAGTATGATTTTAAGAAAAATATCTGGAATTAGAGCAGAATCCAATTTAAGCTAGATATGAGGTTTTAAATTGCTTTGATCGCTTGGGAGATGAATGGTCATTGTATCTTGATATTCTGTTCTGTTAGAAGCAGAAATGAGCTAAGGTGATGCTCGTTTCGTTGTCAAGCTCCAGTTTGATTTTTCAAAATAATTAAATTGTCAATTACACACTCACAAACTTCCAGTCTAGCTCTGCAACAAGTGCTTCTTCTAGAAGTTGACGAATTCCGGTTTTATTGTTAGCACTGAAAGTGAAGGCTGTGCTCACTAAGCCGCATTAATATGGACTACATTGTGATCATCGTATTCAACATTAATATTGGTATTATTATTACTATTATTGACTATAATATGAGTTACAAGGAAGGTCCTGCATTAGTTTCGCAAATGGTTTACAATCAAATTATGATACGAATGACGAAACTATGAAAAGGAAACTGTAACTGGAACAGGTAGGCGTCATAGGGAGTAGTAGGTATTTATTAAGACCTATAAAATTCACTGTAGAAAACACATCTCCTCTATAACTTCGGTTGAACCGAATACGTAGTACTTTGTTGATTGATTCCTAGTAAGATTGTTGCAAAGGAGGGAATTAATAAGTAACCAGTCTCAATTCTCTGTATCGCTTCAAAGGCTTTATTACTCCTACAAAAAATCATTACACTGTGTGGCATATCATGTTAAAAAATTATGTAAGTTACTGAGCAGTTTCCAGCAAAATCCTAAGAAATTTCGAGTAGTTTTTATCAAAAGAAAAAGTGAAAGCTAAGTTAGTTTGGAAATAAAGCAAAAAAAA